TAGTACACTCTTAATTTATGTAAATAAATTTAAAAATTAGTCACTATAAATTTTTATAATACTATAAAATATATGTGCACGAATTTAAAATGTGTGCTATAATTTGTTGGTAAAAAGCAATTTACAAAGTGTAAGTCAACCAATTAAGAATTTCTCAACCGGTTAACCGAAATTTATTCGGTTCGGGTCAATTAACCGATTATAGCCCAACCGATTCAAGTCACTAGTCTAAACACACCTTGGAGCATTAACAAAAAAATATCGGAAAGGTAATTTTACCTATAGAAACTCCCAACCTCAACCCAAGGTGGGCCTAACCCTAATGTTAATGAAAAACGGCATATTACATGATCTGCCCAGCTTTAAGGACCCCTATTTTTGTAATGAAAAATTATGAAAGTTAATTCCGGCCAGAAATTAGTAAACAATTATGTAATGTGGGCCAAAATTTTGGATCCTCGGCCGTTAGCCAATCAAAATCGAGGGTCTGCCGTGCATATTTTGTGCGGCACCTAGGTTCAATTTACTATATACCCTCATTTAACCAACATCACGCCGAGTGAATAAAATGCTAATTCTACGTACACTAGTGATGTCGATTAAGCTATCAGTGAAGTGTGCAGCACCGGAGTTAATAATTATTTACCATATTCCTTCGAAAATAAGCACCCCTGGCCTGCATTATAAAAAATTTGGTCTGAATTATAACTATCTTGGCCAACATTACGTGCAAAAAAAGGGGTGCTTATTTTCGGAGGAATACGGTATTTAAGAAACTAACTATACGAACATGGATACAGCGATTTGTCATTTAGAAAATAACTTGCTTAGGTTTGCTGCATCGTAGTTGATATAAATTCACATTTATTATTTGTCCAAGTTTATTATGTGCTTGTGGAATAATCTTTAAATGGAATTAGCAAATCAACTAAATTTGATTTTTTTTTTCTTTAATTTCTTGCGTAAATAAAGGGTCAACGAAGATATAAAATTCAAGTAAATTCAGTAAGGATATCGTCGAGATTAATTACTTGGAATAATCTTGATTATTCAACTAAGTAATTGTCTGAATATCACACCAGAGTACACCTTTTATATTTATTGTATACTGTAAGTTAATGACCGCGGTTGTTTTTTTTATCAATACACGAAAGAACATAAAAGATATTGTATTTAATGTTCATGCTCTAGTGTGATTACTGACCAATTGAATCAATCAAGAAATTTTTATCACGCATGAAGCAAATTACAGTACTCTGCAAAGCGAACTTTCCATTTCAATTATTACATATTTTAATGCTGTAGTCATTTCATTTATTCTCTTACTAAAAACACATTTACTGCACAAGGCGAAGTTATTGTCAAATTACCATAATTTTGCGATCATATAATTCGCAATTTTTTTTTATAACTTAATTTTTATTTTGATTTCTGGGCAGTTTGAATTGGCAAACTCTGAAATTTCGCTCTGACGAAATGCGAAGCTTTAGTTTCATCTTTCGTCTATTAAAACCTTAAATGTCAAAACTACGAAATTTACGAATGACGAAGTTGACAAAGTTAACAAAAAGTAGTGAGACTGATGAAAATTGATAAGAGATTTTACTAATATGTATATCTTATTTATTTGTAAACACGAACATTTTGTGTAGATATAGTTAGCTGGTATTATAATGCTGGGTTTGACTTGCGTAATGTTAATCTAGAATTTATAGATTGAGATTTTTTAAATTTTATTAGTGTGATCAATGATATTTCGCGTACTTATTAAAATACTTGTGATTTCATCATTCATGAATTTACTTCTCTGCTCATTTTTGGTATTACAACTTCACTATCCTTGTATTAGTGATTTCTTCATTGAATATAATATTACGTCATGCACATGCATATAGCTAATTGTCCTTACTCATTTAGAAATGATCACTAAACTCTTTCGCTTTCGTTCTTGATAATCAGTGATTATCATTTCTGCTGAAATCCAATAAAAGAAAAAAAAAATGCATTATTTACTCCAGGTTACAAAATTTTGAGTCTAAAAAATTGAATTCTGACCGTCTTTTATTATTACATCTGTGATTACATCCACTATACACTTATAGTCATATATGTAAACTTTGTTCCTACATAAATAAAAAAAAGTTTAATATATTTTATATATTCATGGCATACGTAATAATACATATATATGAAGAAGGTTTATTCAGCACCTGCTATTTTTATATCTCTCAGCCCTGCCTTATTAAAGAAAGATTTGAACCTGATTGTGCTATAATTGGTTAATCAGGCCGAACCTAACAAATTTGACTAACCGGTTGAGTAAATTCTTAATTTGTTACCTAATTACAAGATTGATATGCACCCCAAAAGTTCTGAACAATTCTAAAAAGAAAAAAAAATGAATGAACATAAAAGATGAGTAAAACAGATAAAATTGAGTAAAGTTTCGAAATTTCACTATATATAAATTGTATATTTGTATATTTATATAAAATAATTACTATAATTATATTAATAAAGTATTCTAAATAGAGTATATTAATAGATTAGATTTTGTTTACTATAAAGTCAATAAAATCTAAATAAAAATTTTCAATAAATTTTCTTAAAACTTTATAATTTTTTTAAAATTTTTTTAATAAATTTTTACAAACTGTAAAATAAATTTAAAAAAATTATTAATTTAACTAAATTTAATAAAATTTTTTTTAATATTTATTTTACAAGTTTGCTAAAAAAAATTATTATTTGGATATTTCTTATTATTATTTTTTAAAGTTATAAATAAATTTTATCAGTTATCTATTTATAAAAAAAAGTTTTATATAATAATAGATTTTAGTGTTTTATATTCTAATACGTATTCTAATATTCTACTGTTTTAATATTTTAATATTTAATGCTCTAATAATGTTCTAATGTTTTAATACAATATATTAATATTTATCATGACAAAGGCTATATCAATTTTTTTAAATTTTTAAATAAAGATATTTTAAAAAATAGTCTGTTCAAATTTAATAAAGTTTTTTGAGTTCTATAAATTTATAGAATTCAAATAAAAAAAATTTATTAAGTTTAAACAAGCAATTATCAAGATTTTCTTTATTCAAAATTTTAAAAAACCTTACATTTATTAAAATAAAAACAATGACAAACTTTTAAAATTTTAAACAAAGGTACCTTGACAACTATCTATTCAAACTTCATAAAATTATTTTGTCTGAATTCTATAATCGATAGAACCCAAATAATAAATTTATACAGATAATGCTAAGATATCTTTGTTTAAGGTTTTAAAAACATTTGGCAAAATGTCTATTTTGATAGACGTATTGAATTTTATAATTTTTAAGATATATAAAAGTAAAAATTTTATTATTATTTAGACATTCTTTTGTAGAAATTATATACAAATGCTGAAATGTCAAAACACCAAATAACTAAAACACTGTCACAGAATCACAAACGTGCTATTTTTTGTATCTATGATGCATCATAATATCGGTACACGTGAAATTAAATAATATATAATATTGAATTTTCGTGATTTTAAAGTTCGATGAAATGATTTTCCGGACATTTTCCATTCTGATTTAGTCCGGAAATCATGACATCAGACTTCACTTTGTATGAGTGATGCCTGAAAAGGTTTTTATTTGGCGGGTAATGATGGTAATGTTATGAGTAACGAAAAGTTTGTAAAATATAATACCACTTATTCCTTTTTTTCGCTTTTCTTGTGTCTTTTAGATTCTCTTTGAAAATCGATTTCGTCCACATCACAATTTAATACAAAGTCCGAATCGTTAATTATTTCCCAAATGTTCTCTAAAAATTCTCTGAATTCATCCGAAATGTCTAAGTCATCACGTAATTTCCTTAACTCGTTATACCAGTTATTCAACTCTTGATCATTCCGCTTTCGTTTATGCTTAGATGTTGAAATATTGTCAATATCCATTTTATTCACACATTCGACGGAGTCTTGAGATTGTTGTATAAATAATTTAGTTAAATATTGTTTTAATCCATCGATTATATCGATGTGAGTAGCTTGCTTGATAATCTTTAAGTGAGAAGGCTTAAAGAAGTTTTTAGTATTGGTATAATTCTTAAAAGCATCATATAATTCTTTGAAATTATTTTCGAATTGTTCACTTAAAACATAATGTTGATTTTGTTTAATGAAACTATCAACCTTAATTATTTTTTCTAAAATATCATTAAAACACCATTTCGTAATTTCAGTATCTGCTCCAAACTTATTTAATATCCAGCTATAATAAAAGGCCGAGAAATTTAAAGACATAAATGGGCTATCGTTATTATCATCCAACCTATTTTCAAATTCCATCGCTTTTAAAAATACTTTCTCATGATCTTTTTCGATAACTGAATACAAAAAATTCAAAACAACATCAGTTTTTTTCAATCTTTTATCCAATCGAAATATTCGCAATATTTCAATTAAACATTTATGCAAAAATTCGTCCATCGATTCATTCTTTATCTGCAAAAATGCCTTTATCAATATATTTCCAACTTCAACCAATCTTTTTTCAATTAACAATGTGTCTACAATAACAGTATAGTGTAATTCAAATCCAAGTTTTATCAATTCCGAAAGTCGATTAACCATTTCATCAG